CGGGTTACAGCAGTCATGGGTCCATCAGGGGCAGGGAAAACAACATTTCTAACGGCTTTGGCAGGGAAGTCAACTGGGTGCATTATGACTGGTTTAGTTCTTATAAATGGAAAACCCGAGTCCATCTATTCATATAAGAAAATTATAGGTTATGTACCTCAAGATGATATAGTGCATGGAAATTTGACGGTTGAGGAGAACCTCCGATTTAGTGCTAGGTGCAGGTATGCCAATTTTCTTTATTCAGAACTTCACCACTCTTTACCTAAATATCAAATCACATTCTTATACTGCGACATAACGTGAATGGTGACTAGACTTGCTTGGATGCTAATTATCCTCAACTTACCTTTTTTAAAATTTTTGGATTTTATACATGTAAATTTTATCACCATTTTGAAACCAACACTAATTTCCACTTTGCTCTTGGTTGCATGCTGCGTGTAATTTGACTGTAAAATTCTTGTTTCAGAAAAAAGATACTGTAAAATTCTAACTGGCGATGGTCAAGTCAGAGGATATTGCGATAATTGTCAATCCTAACCTTTTACCTCTACAAAAATTTAGAATTTACACCAGTGGGTTGGGTCTGTTAAAGCAAAAAATGGGAATATTTTGGTTAAATATTGTTTGTTCCATATTGATGGATTGTTTGACTTCGTAGATTGTCAGCTGACATGCCAAAACCTGATAAAGTTCTTGTGGTAGAAAGAGTTATTGAGTCCTTGGGATTACAAGCAGTGAGAGATTCGCTTGTTGGAACTGTGGAGAAAAGAGGAATCTCTGGAGGTCAAAGGAAACGAGTTAACGTTGGGCTTGAAATGGTCATGGAACCTTCCTTATTGATCCTGGATGAGCCTACCACTGGTCTAGACAGTGCATCTTCTCAGTTACTTCTTCGTTCACTTCGGCGGGAAGCCCTTGAAGGTGTGAACATCTGCATGGTACTTCACCAGCCTAGGTATGTATAGCATCCTTTCACCAACATTATGTGGAACTTTAGACTGCCATTCCTCACGATACTTGTTCAATACTCCTTAAAATATATATGAACATAATTATTTTTTGGACCGTCGATTATTTATACCTGACTTTAGCACACACATTTATATACACACACGCACACACACATTGGCATCAAAACCTTGAAATCATTGGTAATTCATAGACAATTCCCCTCTCTCCGAATGGGCTCTTCTAATTTTTTATTACTTTTACTTTGCCTTATTTGGTTCTGCAGTCATAAATAAACTCATTTTCATTTTTTTGGAGTCAGCTATTCGTTGTTTAAGATGTTTGATGATTTGGTCCTTCTCGCCAAGGGTGGGCTTACTGCGTATCATGGACCTGTAAAGAAAGTTGAAGAGTACTTCGCTGGTATAGGGATCACAGTGCCAGACCGTGTTAATCCGCCGGACCATTTCATTGACATTCTTGAGGGTCTGGAAAAGCCGAAAGGAGTTACTCACGAACAACTTCCTGTCCGGTGGATGCTTCATAATGGGTATCCAGTACCTCCAGACATGCTGAAATTATGTGATATTGATACAGCTGCAAGCGACTCAACACATGGACAAAATACTAAAGATGATGCTGGAGAACCATCTTTTGCTGGCAATGTAAGGCAGGACGTGAAGTCTAATGTTGAAATGCAGCATGATCACTTCTTAAGTCATAAGGATCTATCTAATCGAAGAACACCTGGTTTAGCCAGGCAGTTTAGGTATTTCATTGGAAGGTAAAAATTATAAATCTGTCTTAATTACTTGAACTATGCTGGTTGACAAGGATATGCCATTCTTTCAAAACAATTAAAGACCACTTTTTAATTAAATCTAAATATCATTCAACACATTGAATATTGAAAAATTTAGCCCACTTCTTATGCCTCTCTATTTTTTTTTATCCCATCCCTCTTTTTAAATTTTTTCTCGCCCACAAAACTCTTTTGTCCCTATATGGCCGTAAATTTTTCTCTCTTAAACTTTTATATCCTTTCCTCTTTAATATTTTTCTCTCTCATAAAAATGCATTAATCAGAAATCACTTTTATAAGCATGAAACCAACCATTAAAATGATTTATAATTAAAAAAAATTATTAAAGTAATTATAGTTAAATTACTTGGGGTAAAAACACTTAAAATCATTAGCAAACATGCACTAAATTAATTTAGTGAAACATTGACAACTGTGGAAGTGTACAGGCAAATTTCAATTTTGTGCTTGTAACTTTGCCATTGGTCTGGCTTATTGAATAGTTTGCAACTGTAGGCATCTTTATGATTGTGTGTGTGTTTGTTTTTTTTTTCTCTCTTAAATAATAATAATCGTTTTGTACATGGTTTTTCTCGTTTTGTCAGGGTGACCAAGCAGCGACTACGAGAAGCTAAAATTCAGTTGACTGATTACTTGATGTTATTACTTGCTGGAGCCTGTTTAGGAACTCTTGCTAAAGTGAATGATGAAACATTTGATTCCCTTGGCTATACTTTCACCGTCATTGCTATCTGTGAGTTGCCATGCGTGAAGTAAATAGCTTGTATAATGCCTTTAATTTACTGTTTATCTTGATTACTGCACCAATGAAAGTGGTGATGTCTTGCATCAAACATACACCTGTAGGTTTTTTTAAAACATATATTCAATAATAGTTTGGATCACTTGATTATACGCCATGACAATAGTAACTTCTCCACGAACACAATTCAGACACTGCATAGTCTATATGCTTGATTACCGACAGTCTGAAGTTCATCCCACTATATGTCTTATGTCATATGCTATTTGCTTATTTGCAGCCCTACTCTTTTTGCAGCCCTCCTATGCAAGATTGCAGCATTGAGATCGTTTTCCCTTGACAAATTACAGTACTGGAGAGAGAGTGCATCAGGGATTAGCAGTCTGGCGCATTTTCTCGCTAAAGACACACTTGACCTTTTCAATACAATCATCAAGCCGCTGTTTTATCTGTCTATGTTTTATTTCTTCAATAATCCAAGATCATCTTTTTCAGATAACTATATCGTTTTAGTTTGTCTAGTGTACTGTGTGACTGGAATGGCCTACGCATTTGCCATCTACCTTCAACCGGCTCCTGCCCAATTGGTACATACTCATAATTTACAATGCTAACTTATGACATGAAAATTAAGATTGCAGCATTTTTACCTTTTTCGAGCAATAGTCCTCCCTGTCTTGGGTGTCACATTTAGTGTTCATTATTTGGTCTGAGGACAAAAAGTTGATTCTCCTTACTTAACTTCCTCTTGCAGTGGTCCGTGCTTCTTCCTGTAGTTTTGACCCTCATTGCGAACCAAGAGAAAGACAGTCCAGTAGTCAAATATTTAGGAAACTTATGCTACCCTAAGTGGGCACTCGAAGGCTTTGTCATCGCAAATGCAGAAAGGTAATTTGTATCCTCTTCCTCCCGTTTTATCCAGAATATAAGAATCTATAGCATGTTCCTTAGAATGCAATCATTTTAGCATACTTCAGCTTGCATATGACAAACAAAAATACTAGTAATAAATATTCGAGATGTATGCACGGTTAATATTGTTATTGTGACTAGAACAATATTCAATGTCCATGTTGAAAACAAATGCTAGAATTTAAATATTTGTTCTTGAAAACTGGTAATATAAATCACCAGTTGGTTGAGAAATCTTGGGACTTCAAAGAATTTTAATTGGTCTATAAGTTTACTTCTAAATGGATTTGAGGGCCGGGAATTTCAAGCCTCTGCCTGATGATTTTTGCAAGATCAATTGAAGAAACGATCGTTTCAATCTTAGTTATATGCAAAAACAGCTTTATATTTAATATTTGGTTCAGAAATCAGAGAAGAATCACTTTTTTATTTTATCTTTTGTACCTAATTGGAATCAATAGTTATTTATGGAACCATGACCTTGATCTTGGTTCCAGATTTCTTGCTAAAATAAAACGGTTCTAATTGGAATAATTATGCTGTATTATCAATTGAAAAACAAGTGTTGTGACTGTCTAATGTCCTGTCAGGTATTCTGGTGTGTGGCTGATAACTCGCTGTACTTCACTGATGGAAAATGGGTACGATCTTCATGACTGGCATCGTTCTTTAGTGATGCTCATCTTGTTTGGCGTAGTCAGCCGTGTCACTGCTTTCTTTCTTATGATCACCTTCCAAAAGAAATGAGCTTAGTTAGTTCTTTCATTTTGCCAAGTTTCCATGGTAATTCATGGATCTCTTAGCCTATAGTAACTCTTGAAGGCCAAATTTTTAGTACATTGTACAGATTAGATTCAAATCTTCAACATAGATATACATGGCATTACTTGTTGCAGCTTAATGCCCATTTCTCGATACAGCAGCCAACTTACATTTGGACTCATCTTTCAAGGTTTTAAAACACTCTGTCATCTCCAAGTTGGATTGAAGGGATGATTAATTTGTCTTGGTTAAAAGATTTTGTTTCTAATTTTAATTTTTTTTATTAGAATGTCTGACTGAGAATGAAAAAGTTAGGATGTATCATTTACTTCTTTAAATTTAAATTTTAGTATAAAAATTCTCCAAATAGCCAAAGAATTTTATTCAAAAATATATTTCAAAATTCTCTAACAAATTGAGGGAAAAAAATAAATCGAGATGTCTTATAAATTATTATTATTATTATTTTTTTTTTTTTTGTGCATGCATTTATCTAAAATTTTGATATGTAAAAAAAAAAAAAAAAAAAAGAGAGAGAGAAAAAAAGAAAAGAAAAGAAAATCGGAATGTCCAACGGAATGGAAACGACGCGGTAACCTTATCAGGTTAAATTACACCCTACCATCCCAACGCCGTCAAAACGGTAACGTTATGTTACCAAGTCAAAGTGTCAAACCGTAAAACTGCTAACGAAATCCACGTGTATTCGTACCGGATTTCAAACGAGTATAAATCGAGTAAGAGAAACGGGATCGGAAAACGTTTGGAATCCGGCGAGCAAAAACGCCGTATAAATTAATTTCTCCTCTTAACCTCTCTGCCATCGCTCTTTTGGCGGTTTAAAAGGATTGCATTTGTATTTTTTTCTTTTCGGTTTGGAACCTCTGAACGCAACGCTCGCGTCTCTCCCCAATCCTCTAATCAAGCTGAACTCGGATCTTCAGCTTCCTTGCTGGTACTTCTCCTCTCCTCTGCGAATTTCGAATTTGTTGGTTTCTCTATTACTTTCTGCTTTAGATTCTGCCAGCTTATTGATCGATAGCTTTGATTCAGTGGACTCAATGGCGACTTGTAGTCAGTTTAAATTTACTGTTTGTTGGGCTTCCGGGTGATGAAGGAAAGTGAAGATCATAAGTTCTTCCTTTCTGTATTGTTTCCATTTTCTATTGCGTCAGATTGACTGTGCTGATTGGCTCCGTGCATTCCACCTGCTATTTGTTCCTTTCTTACTTCCACACTCCGAAATCTCATTTTCACTACCTCCGAACTCAAAATTTGATGCTTTATTCTGTCTGAACTGTATCTTTTCCCTTTCTGTATCCAATCACTGTCCGAGACTCTTTCTTTTGTGAATCTTTTGTGAATCTTATGTGAAATTTGGTCAATCTTTAGTTTTGTCGTCATTTTCTTTTGCATTGCATGACTTTTGAAGGTTATGCGACTAACGCAGAAATTAGGATATGAATACTTTATATTTAGGAGATATGTATAATATAGACTTAAAAAGGTAGATTTTTTTTTTAATTATGTTGCTTTATTTTCGTTGTTAATGACCTCGGTGGATTTAGTATAACAAGTTGATACGTTTTAAATTCTTCAAAATGTCAGTCTTTTAAACACAATTGCTAAATAGGTGAAATTGCACGTTGTGAGTCAACATGTTTTGTATGGTAATTGTGAAAGCACAGTCATTTAAGTAGAGGAGTGGTTCATTTGTTACCTAGAAGAATAGGAAGATTATATCTTTAGTTATGTGGCGTGAGCGTGACTGGTTGCAGTGTAAATTGTAGTTTATTTTATTCCTTATCAATGCTAGATAATGATCGCCAATTAGAACATAGTTGAGTGGATAAAGTATCTATTACCATTTCAAAGGTCGATGATTTGATTCCCCTCTATAATGGTTGAACTAGAAAGAATAGTAGCTACTGAGTATGTTGCGAACGTCTCCATCCCATACCTGAAAGTTTGACCCAAAAGATGAGAAACTTCTTCAAATGGAACTTGTGAGTTACACCATTTTGAAAGGAACGAACTTGAAGTGTGCCTTTTCAACTTAATATCTCTGATGGTATTACATCAAGGATGTAGAAGACTTCAATGAAGTGTTTTATCCCAGTAGTTGATTCTCGTTCACAAGAATAATTATGTTGATATGCCTTTTTATTTTATTTTATTATTATTATTATTATTATTTTTTTTTGTGTTAGAGCTACTAATCCGTATCAGAACATGTAGGATTGAGCTTAAGAGTAAATGGATCAAGAAGTGCATTTCTGCCAGAAGTTCACAAATATGAATTATCATTGGGTGAGAAGCTTTCTATTATCAAGAAGTAACTTATACATCTAACTGTTGTGCACTCCTTGAATGTATACCTTATATTGCTTGCCTCATCCTTCCAACATTGATATGTGTGAATGATTTTGATGATTTGAGTCTAAATAATTGGAGAGTTTTTATTATGTGGAAGACAAATAAATGCATGGTTATAAACTTCCAATGTATCGTCAGGTTCATATTGTGTAAATATCTAAACTTTGATAACATGATAATGTCCGCACCTTTGCTTAATATTGGAGAGTTTTTCTTATTATGGAGGAACAAATATAATGCATGGTTCCAAACTTCCAATGTATCATTATGGGCATATTGTGTAAATATCTAAATTTTGATAACATGATAATTTCAACACCTTCGCCTATCTACCCTTGTTAACCTATGGAGGTGTTCTTTGTAATAATTTTCCGATAGAATCTTGTTTTGTCTCCCATTTCATCATATAAATGATTTGTTTCTGTTTTCTAAATATCTAAAAGAGATAATATGAGCACCTTTGTAAGTCCTCATCAATTTTTGCCTTATCAGTTCTATTACCTTTTTACAGCATAATATAAATACATATGAGAGAGAATGCAGATATGAATATGCCATAAAATTAAGAATATGCAGGTATAAATGTGCCATGAAATCTTTAGGTGGTTATAAATAGAGGAAATTAGAAACTTGGGAGAACAATTTTGGATATAGTTAGTGGAAGAGTTCATACCTCTTGAAGTGCTTTGAAAACTTGTCATTTCTTTCTTAATTTCAATACTATATTTTGGAATTTTTCATTAGTTTTGTAGTTTACGGGAGAGTCTAGGCCTGTCTTGAAGGTCTGGGAACGCTTTTTGTTTTTCATCTCATATCACTACTATTTTCTGTGAATTCCATTTTGATTCTTGTTTCCTATTAGAGTAGTAGTCATTTCAACACATATCTCCTCTCTAAATTGCTTTACTTTACTTATTTTAATCTTGGTGTGATTTTTCATCAATTCTAAATTGTTAGTTTGTAAAATAAGATATGCTTCTCTGCATAATCACAATTTTAGCCTAACTTTTTTTTCTCTAGATATTATCTTTCTGACTTGTGGCGATTTTCTACTTTTTCTTCATAGGTAAAAGTGGAGGGATCTTTTCTTCCTGCACCATTAAATGAATCAAATGAAGTTGATCATTTTCTTGTGGAGCCTAAAAGCGACCATGAATTAGGAAATTGCTTGAGAGTTCAAGATTTCTCTCGTGACTTTGGCTACGAAATACAAACAAATGGCGGTGAACTCTTATGATCCATTCCTTATCCTTTTATTAGTGCAAATTTGCACTCTACTCACTGGGCTTCTTCCATCCATGTTCTTTTGTTTTAGCATTTGTTGGCGAACTGTAGTCTTATCCTATTTTCCCTATAAGCTCAACATATAGAAAGGGTCTTTATTGGTCTGATGTGAATATGTTTTGGAAACCTTTCCTTGTATATGTGGACAAATCCAGAAAAGTGATACTAATTATTGAGTTCAACATGCTTAGACATTTTTAATTTATTTTCCAATAGTTTTTTTACATCAGTAAGCAATCTAATCCTGGCCAATTTCTTTTATTACCTATAAGGTGGATTGGATTCTAATAGCAAGCAGGGACTCAAATATAAACTTAAATTGGAGTATGCTTCTATCTTATGATATTTTCATGTCATGTGAATTGATCATTTCATCATGTCTTAAAGTGGTAGAGAGGTTCAACCTTTGAGAATTAGACGAGGGAAAGTATAGATGTTGGTGTGCTAAATGATTGTTTCTTAGTTTTTGACCTCCTCATTGAAACTCTCTCCTCTTTTCGACCTTTAAGGGCCAAGTTATTTGCCTATGAATCCTACAATGATCTCCTCCTCATTGAAACTCTCTTCAAAGACAATTTTCCTTTGTCTTTTTCCCTCAATGATGTATTTTTCTATAGGAGCCAACACAGAGATCTGAATCATTTGTTGTCGGAGTGCAAGTTCGCTAGCTACCTTTTAAGCATTACAATTTAAACCCCTTAGGGAATGAAAATAAAATTTTTGGGAGAAAAAAGTTGGAAGGAGGGAGGGACAAAAAATTTTAGATAGAAAGAAAGTTAGAGAGTGCAAAAATACTCTGTGGAGAAAAGTTGGAGAGAAAAAAATTAGAGAGAAATAAAGTTGGAGAGGTAGTGTCAAATTTTCCCGAAATTAGGGTTGAAATGGGGTGAAATAGAAGGTTATTCTTGATATTTATAATTATAGTTATTTTTAAAATTTCTTGCCAGTCAATTTTTCCAAACTCACCCACCTTATACTATCAAAACCACGTAGTTTTGATTTCTCCCAAAGAAAACACTTCCACACCATCCAAACACTATTATTTTAGAAGGGGGCGCCAAGTAACTTTGGCCAAACAGGCCTTTTTGAGCTGCCATATGGCTGTGGTTCCACTCTTTTGTAGAAACCCTTTAGAGGGGGAAAGTTAGAACCTGTTAAGGCTCTTCTTTGGTCTGAGAGGAATAAGAAAGAATTCCAGAACTCTCACATTTGCTTGGATGTTTTTCAGAATTTAGTTAGATTCTTTACTTTCTGTGGAGTACTTTGTCCAAAGCCTCTTTTTCACTATGACGTTTATTTGATTTATGCCAATTAGGATTGATGTAAACCCATGGGTTCCATAGGCGTTTTCTCATCCCCTTTTTACCATTCCTCCTCTTGATTTAATATAACGGATGGGAAAACAAATACAAAAAAGAAAAAAAAAAACTTAAAAATGTAATACTCAGATTCAGAGTTAGCTTTATGCATTAATTGATTGAAGTGAAATGGAATTTTAGAGATCTTGATCAACTGCTGGATGATGTCGATGAATTAGGGAATTCCATGCAATAAACAATCTGCTAAATACATGTGAAGTTTATCTTCTCATTATATATATATAATTTTTTGTTAGTCTTGTGTGGTTGTATGCTAACAAATTTCATATCTAGTCAATAATCTCAAGCCTCTGTTTCCCCTCTCTTTCTTTATCCCTGTTTTTCCTTATCTTTAATCACGTATTCTTAAAGCACAGATGCCGAAGTTGATGAAAATTCTTTCAGACAGAATAGGGGATTACAATTGGGAAAGCTAAGTTCAGAGAGTAAATCTCAGGGATCAAGCAGGAGTGATACTGATGCTTTTGAAATATCAGAATTGTCAGCAACAATGGTAATGGAGGCTGAATTCAACAATACACCTGTTGAGAGGAGTTTGACTCATGAGTTGTTCTCTGGTCTGAGGACCAGAGGTGGGTGTGCAACACCATTTGAAGGCAACATCTGCAATACGATACTTGATAATAATAATATCCATAAGTTCAATACTAATGAAAACTATCTTGAAAATGAGAAAATATCTGATGAAAAGGGTGATATTGTGGCAAGCAAACTTGCCAGTTGCTCAAGAGAGAGGAGATTGCGCAAGCCTACTCGAAGATACATAGAAGAATTTGCAGATTCGAAGTCTGAAAATAACAAGGGAAGGAGAAAACCTCCTACAAAAGATAAATACCTGAAAGTGACATCTACTGAGGAATCTAATCACATTAGACAGGTACAAATGTTGACCCCTAAAGATGAATTGCATTGTGGTACGTCTGTTCCAGTGCAGTCTCGATCTCAGAGAAGACATCCAGAGAAGCACGTACCAGTTTCAGTACGAGAGTTTTCTCTCTTGATATCTGTTCATCCTGCCAATATAATTATCATTGAAATTTCTCTGTTTTATCTGCCTTCCATATATTATTTGTTTTTTTTTTTTTTTTCTTTTTTGTGGTTCATTTGGTTTGGCCCAAAGTCTTTCTAGATTTAAAGTTGAAGTCACTTTATTGAAGTCATTCATGATGCCCTATCTTTTTTTTTTTTTTGAAACACATTCAATTTTGTACACCCGTGTGAGTTGTAAATGGACAGTATAGGCACATCTTGTTGTATATGTATAGGCACGTCTTTGATTGTTTCCTTTTTAGTAATAATTCAGATGATGATAGTATTCATCACTCAGAATATAAATTTTGAATTGCAAAATGTTGGTACTATAACTTTTGATTGATTTCTAAATAGTTTGACCTCAAATACGTGGTGCATCAAGAAATGATTGAACTCATCTCATCATAGGAATTAAAAGCTTTTAAGACTCGTGGTAAATTTAAGATGACTCAACTGCCTTTGACCGTGGACTTTCTTTTGTTTATATCTGGGGCCATTGCAGACCTGATACACTGGTGCTGGTGAAATACATTATTCTGATGTGCAGTTTTTACTGTCTGGTCTTCTGCCACTCCTTCCCGCTCACCCTTATTTCTTCTCTGTAATAATTCAGTTGCTTTTCTTCCCCCCTCCCAACCCTCTGTGTCTTTTTCCTCTATTATATTTGTTTGTGCTCGAGACCCCAAATATACGCAACTAATTATGCTATAGTTTAGAATTGTAAGTTCTGCTATAGTTGAGAATTGTAAGTTCTTTCATTCTACATTTCAGGGATTTCTGTCTGAAGACGAACCTTCTGCAACTGAGTGTAAAAATGTTTATTCATCTGCCAAAATATGTAAAAAGTATGATAGGAGGAAGCACCAGAAGATGTGGACCCTTACTGAAGTAATGCGATTGGTTGATGGAATTGCTGAATATGGAACTGGCCGCTGGACTCGTATAAAGAGGCACCTATTTGCGTCTTCTCCTCATCGTACGCCCATAGATCTCAGGGTATTTATCCATACACTATTCTGATTACTTCACATTTATCCAATGAATTTTAGTTATCTCGTTTTCCCTTCAGGACAAATGGCGGAATCTTTTGAAAGCTAGCTGTGTTAACATACAGAACAGTAAAGGGGTGAGCGTTTTTGTTCTTTATGCTTCACCTTTCTAGTGAATGTGAACTGTGCATGCCATAGATGAACCTCTTAATGATTTTTTGTCCATTTTCTAATTCCAATGAATCTGCATGCAAAGCAAATTTTTAGCATGCTTTAAGTCGGGTGAAAGAGTATTTAGTTACGGTTTTGTTTCAATTATACAGACTGAATGTAAGCAGCCACATGCCTCACGTCCACTGCCGAAGTCCCTTCTCCAACGTGTTTATGAGTTGGCCAATATATATCCATACCCGAAGGAGCGCAGTCCAAAATCAGTTAGAGAAGCTACACCTCCCATGTATCTTATTGAAAGTAACTCGTTGTCATTTAATTGGGGGCGGAAGAAGTATGAATGATATCTACATTGGAAGCAGCAGAAATGCCTTTGCAATGAAGTGGAAGTCTAAATAGTACTTACAATGAAAAGATCTCTGTTTCTGTTTTGATCCTTTTGTAACGGTGATATGCACTTGAAACTGGGAAGAAAATCTTCCATAATAAAAGCCGCGGAGCTAATTAACTGAGAAATCTAGTATCATCGATTCCATTTCCTTATCTTTTTTTCTTTTTTTTTTTTTAATTTGGGTAAATCATAAAATATTTCATGTACATTTTCTAATACCAATTGTTAATTCTTGAGAAGGCAGAGGTTCTCAGAATCTGTTGCAGTGAGGAAAGGAAGTCATGTTCGAGTCGGTAGTAATTTCTCGGGTGGAGGAGAAATATGCTTACCCCTCGAGCGAATATCTCCATAGAACAACCACTCTCGTGTCTTGTACTAACTCCAACTCATTTATGGGTGAGGTAAGTATGTAGTTTTACTATTCAATCTTTTTCAAATTGATTATTACTTTAATTCTTTGCCAGGGATGTATTTTTTCTATTCTCAAATCATTTTGTTTCTTCCCCATACTAGGTAATGTCTTATCTGGATTTGTGTTTACAGTATCTATCGTTTGGCATCAGTGTCTTCTTATTAATAGTCGTTTCTCTCATAGATACATGCATAAACATAGACATGTATACACTAAGGGATGACCATTATTAGTCCTTCGGATTTTCTAGCAGAAGGTATATGATTACTGGAGGAAAGCGCACCTCCCTCTACCCTCATACTCTGCCTACTCCTTGGAACATAGGAACATCAACAGCTAGAGCAAAAAGAACTAGGATCTTCTGATATGCTATATCAAATAGTACATATTAGCCTTCTAGATTTGCAATAGTTACCCACTTCCATTGTCATTTCCTTGCGAAGCTCCACCCTTCTCGTTGAAGTACTCTCTAGGCAAAGAGTGATGGTTGCTAATGCCACTTTCTGGGTGCTTGAAATTGCTCTTTCTGCTGTTATTTTCTTCAGCCGTTTTTGATTGCTTTAAGAAATGTTGGTTTCCTTGTTCATGAAACCCTGCCAAAGCAATCCTTCTTGAAGTCACTGAGCAAGTGTAGCTCAAGATCATCATTGATAAGATGAGGACTAAGAACTTCATCCTGGGGTTTCAAGTTTCGTACACTTAGATACATCAGAAATAAGGCTTCAGCATTTATAGAACAATAGCTAAGTTCTTAGATTTGATGATTAATATTTAAAAAATACCCTAGTGGTTTTATAATAGAAAGTTAGTATTAAAAATGAATTATGGCGTCTCCACCAGAAGACTAGACAAGATATAAAGCCTGTTTGAGTTTAAAGGTCAACTCGCTTTATTTAATAAGCGAATGGTTATGGTTGAAATAGTATACTTGGTCCACTTTATCAGCCTCACTAGGGAGCATTCACCTTCGTAATGGAAATCTTTACGAAGACCTAAATTTCAGTTAGGCATAATGATGTTTCCTGTTTGAGTTGCTAAGTGATGTCAATTTATAAATTGCAAACAGTAGTTTCTCACAATGTTTTGCAGCGAATCACCACTTAAAATATCCCTTTGAAGCATCCTTTTATTAGTGCCCTCAGTCTGGGTTCAGTTAAAGGGCTTTTTGGAAGGAAAATGCAGCGCAAGCACAAACCCACCGCTAACATATATTGTCCTATTTGGGCTGTCTTTTCCGGACTTTTCCTCAAGGTTTTAAAACGTATGTACTAAGGAGAGGTTTCTACCCCTTGGGAGCCCAGCGTCCTCGCTGACACACTATCCAGTATATGACTCTAATACCATTTATAACAGTTTAAACCTACCGCTGACATATATTGTTTTCTTTGGGCTTCTCTTTTTGGGCTTTCCTTCAAAGTTTTATAACACGTCCACCAGAGAAGGTTTTTACACCCTTGTAAAGAATGTTTTGTTTCCCTTTCCAATTGATGTAGGATCTCACAGAAATAGGGACTTTTAGTTAGATCTTAGTACATTATACAAAACCATATATTTTCAACTTGACATGCATTTAGCTCTAAGCTATAATACATAGAATTGATTCATTCTAGTCTATAAAGATATTTGAACATGGTTCCGAACAAATGTGTTCATTTCATTTCATGCATGTTGCAGTTACAAATGTGTTCATTTCATTTCATGCATGTTGCGGAGTCATAACCGCCTTTTGAAATTTACATACCAATAGCTTAGAATTTCTACATTTTCCATAGATTTTCATCTTATGTTTCTACTCTCTATCTGGTTGTTCATACCTAATGTATATTAAAATTAATTTAAAAATTCTAATTATCTGATGCTGATATAAGTGTAAAGCACACAATCCCTTCTTAGGTCATTAATGCATTAATGTTGAATGCTTCTACTGTTTATTTATATATTTATTTATTTTCGTTCCTATGCGAAATATGAATAAAAATAAAGCATGAATGAATGGGATGCTATGCTATATATGATTTATGATAAATAACTTCATCAATCATTTTTTTTAGTTTAACAATTGAAGGTTTAAAAAATAGATAATTGATTATAAGTTTAAATTTTCAAAAATCAAAACAAATATGTTGATGTTATTTGGGTATTTGGATTAATTAGAATGGTATATTTATCGAAGAAGTTTCCTTTTGTATACGTTCAAATATAATTTGTAGGGTTGATTGAATTAAGTATTCCCGATCGATCTATTAGGTAAAAAAAAAAAAAATTATTCGTAAATTATCTACTAATTCACAATTCATCTCGTTATCATAGGCAAAACGAGATATTTTAACTTGGTTGAATGCAACTCCAACAAATTAGCAAATTCAATTTTTTTTAAAAAAAAACCCTTTATTTTATTAAAAATTAAAATAACGAAACTCCATTGAATTCTCATATAATTGTCCCACAATAGAGATCAAAACAAGAAAAAGTGAGGAAAACAAACCAAATGCTTCCAAGAGGGAAGCATGGGAAGTTATAAATGGAAAGATATGGGGCAAAATTAATATTTAAATGAAAATAAATAAATAATAATAGTGCCAGCTTCTCTGACCCGCGGGGCATGTTATCACTTTCAACTGCAGCTTGTTAGATCTGAGAACTGCATCTTGACTCTATCATGTTCATCAACCATCCCAGCCCAAATTCAAATCACCATATCATTACCTTTTCCTTCTTCACTTTCATGCCAATTTTGGGAATAAAAAAGACAGCATCTTTATTCAGTACTATGCAAATTAATTGTTGCATGCCAACTAGCTAGCTGCCTACATTTCTCTGAATCTTGAGTGAGCTCGAGAGTTTGGGTTTGCTATCTGTGTTGTGAATGTGGGGAAAGGTTTTGCCCACTTCAAAACAGAAAGGCTTGGGGTTGGGGTTCTTTCAGTTCATAACCTTGTATCAAGATTTACGGACCAAGGGAGTTGAGCTGAGCATACTATTAATAGTGCTGTAGAACTTTGGCCGAATTCTATGTTGAATGACATGACTCTTTCGAGTTTTACGGTTCGGAATACAAATGTTATTACATCTGCTTTGAAGTTAAGAGTTGAATGATGACTTTAGTATCAGTAGTGTACTGATGAATGATGTATAGATGTAAAGAAGTGGGTTTGGATATTCTGTGAAGTAAAAATGATGTCAAACAACCACAAGACATATCAAGCAAGAATCTTGGCCCATGCCCATCCCATCTTTCCCCACACACTTGATCATCATAATGGCCACAGTTCAAATATATGTCCCGTTCAACTCATTTTACCTTTAATAGTTCAAGCCCACCGCTACTAGATATTGTCCGCCTTAACCTGTTACCTATCGCCGTCAGCCTCACAATTTTAAAATGCGTCTATTAGAGAGATGTTTTCATACCTTTATAATAAATGCTTTGTTACTCTCTTCAACTAATGTGGGATCTCACAATCCACTTCCTTTGGAGATCCAAAGTCCTTGCTGACACACCGTCTGGTGTCTAGCTCTAATTACATTTATAACAACTTGAACTCAACACTAATAGATATTGCCCGCTTTTGTCCGTTACCTATCGCCATCAGCCTCACAGTTTTAAAACGCATATGTTACGAAGAGATTTTCACACGCTTATAAAAAAATGTTTTGTTCCCCCAACGTGGGATCTCACAATCCACTCTCTTGGAAGCCTACAACTTCGCTAGCACACCATCCCGTGTCTGGCTCTGAATACCATTTGTAATAATTTAAGCTCACCGCTAGTAGATATTGTCTGCTTTAGCCCGTTACCTATCGCCGTCAACCTCACAGTTCTAAAACGCGTCTATTAAAGAGAAGTTTCCACACTTTTATAAGAAATATATTGTTTCAGTCACCAATCGATTTTTCGATCCAAATCGAAAAAGGAAAAAGCTCATAATTCCTCATGAGGTAATAAGATTAAATCCTTAAATTATAAAACATTTCCCTAGGAATGAGAATATTTTCAGCTTTCTTTCTTTATTTACAAACAGACTTGAGAAGAAGATTAAAAAAAAAGGTCCAGATAGGAGGAACTGACAACTGAGAGGAACCAAATCTAGGCTTCAATACCAAAACAAACAAAAATATATGTAAATTTTATTGAAATTTAAGTAGAAAGATGTTTAAAAACTGAAATAAAAGTTATGTTTGAGTGAGAGCGGCCCATCACCTGCGCCCAGATGTGATGCTGCAGACAAGCTTATCCCAAAACCATCTGCAGCAGATGAAAGAAAAATGGATAGCAATGCAGCTGCTTTCTGCATATTGCCATGTTCCTTTTCAACTCAGAACTGCTCCCAACAATTCAAAGATGATTTGGGGTACACATCAATCCATGAATCCCTTGATTTTATAACAAGAAACATAACTAATGAAGATGAGATTCAATAATCCATAGTGATCATACAGAATTAAACTCTACCCTTCAAAGAAGGCCTGTTTTGGTTTGGAAAGTGATGTTGAGATTGGGCACGTACGATAGGGAAAATCGGATGAGCTAGAGCAGGAAACATTGGGCATCCTTGCCAGGAAGACAAATAGTAAAGTCGGGCGAAGAACTTGCTAATCCAACCAAAGGAAATTACGTAGGGTCTCGAAAGGGCTATAAAGAATCTCATTCTTTCCTCCCTTTATTCTTCAGTTTTCGAGATCGATATAGCCCTCTCGGAACAAAGCTAGGTTGATAGTGATACGTAACGGGTGGGATCAGAGTGAGACACCAAGTGGTGTGCTAGCGAGGACACTAGGCCTCAAAGGGGAGGTGGATTGTAAAATCTCACATCGGTTGAAGAGGAGAACAAACTATTCCTTATAAGAGTGTTGAAACTTCTCCCTAGTAGACGCATTTCAAAATCATGAGACTGATATCGATACATAACAGGCTAAAACAGACAATATCTATTAACGGTGGATTTGGGCTATTACATCGTCACTATGCCCAAGAAAGAAAGTTATCTTCATCCCCTACACTTCAAATCTCATCTCTTGTCCACTCCAATCATGTGGGGCCATAACAAAATTAACTTCAAGCAAGAACTTCGGGAAAAAAATCAGTCAACCATTACTCCTTTGCCTAACACCATTTTTCCATATTTGAATATATAAAATCTCATCTCAAAACTATGCAATGAATGTTCGTACAATTGGTATCATCTAGAGATGCAACAATATAATAAAGTAAATTGGTACAGCCAGGCAAGGTGCATCTACCATGATATATATAATGCACTGTCAGAGGGAAAATGGCATACAGAAACGGAGCCCACTGCTTAGCTATATCTATAATGTCAACCATCTAATAGTGTTCTTCATCCGCTCTTATATATACCTTTCAGTTTCTCCATCACTAGCCAAAGACTAAAGCTACACACTGATAATATGAAGGGGGAGTTTATAAGAGCATGTGCAAACAAATGGAGGAAGATAGGAAGCAAAGTGGTACCTTGTGCAGCCTGCGAGGAGTGTTGCCAATGGGTTTTGTGGTCTCCCTTGCATGAGGATTGCTTCATTCCGCGAGACGTCCCAAAGGGTCACTTGGTTGTGTATGTGGGTGAGAATAACAGAAGGCTTGTAATCAAAATTAGCCTTCTCAATCATCCTCTGTTCAAGGCATTGCTGGATCAAGCACAAGATGAGTTTGATTTCACTACAAACTCAAAACTCTGCATTCCTTGTGATGAGAACTTTTTCCTTAGTGTTGTCCGCCGCGCTACCTCACCTCATAATCGACAGAGCCCTCTGTGTCTTTGAAGATAGGTTGTGTTGAATTATCCTCTTTGAGAACGCTAATATGTATTTAGCCACCATTTGTTGTAAACTAATGTAACTCGTATAAATGGGGAAACGCCATTCACTCTCCCTTCTAGACTACTAGTTCTATATGTATTTGCACTCGGAGCTATGCACAATCTAAGATCTCTGCCAAAAATGAAGACTTCAAGTGGTCTATAATTTATTGAGTAATTAGTATTTAGTATTTCGGCATGTGAGATTCCACGTCAAGTAGAGAAAAATCAAAAAGGGAAAACCAAAAGCTAGACATCAAGCGATGTGTCAATGAGGACGTTGAACCCTGAATAGGGGTGGACACGGTAGTGCTAACGAGGATGCTGGACTCCGAAGAGGGGTAAATTATGAGATTTCAGATCGATTAGAGAGGGGAACGAAATATTCTTTGTAATGATGTGGAAACATCTTCCAAAAGAAGTCCAAGAGAAAAAACTCAAAGATGACAATATCGATTGGACTGTTAAACGGTATGGCTCACGCATTCATGGTGTGTGAAGTAACATGAATATGTTCGATGGTCAATCTATTTCCACCAAGTTTGGTGCTTCTTCCATAACCTCCTACCTAGAATTCTGATTTTAACATAACGGTTGCAACATATAAACTCCAGGCAAAATTTTAGACTCTCCCTTTGACCAATTAGCACTTATTGTCAGGCCCAACATTCCTGCATAGCTTGCACCACAGAAACTAAACTCTAGCTTCACACACAGGCTGCTAAAAATCTGATAAATTGCGATCACTTTAATGCCAGTTAACAACTCCACACAAAATCCGCAACAGTGGCCAACTACAATTATAGCAGGTTCAGTCTGCCTTCATAAACTGTAGAAGCATAACTGATAGGCTCTGCATAATGAGAACATCAAGTAAGAGAAGCCATAAACATCTCTTGGAGCCTGCATCTGAAACTCAATAGAGCTACCTAATACTGCCCAAGTCCATCAGTTAATATAGGAAGTGACAAAGCAAGAAGATGATAGAGAAAAAGAAATGACTCTAAATACAACGGCACATCAAAACGCATCATAAATTGATCACATGCCATACAATTGTGGCACAACTTCAAAGATAATAAGACTGTTCTTTTTCGTCTTTTACACATAGTAAAAAAAAATGGGAAGACGAAGAAAAAGCCATGTTTTCGTAGAAATAAATTTGAACAGATCTCAATCATCTGACATTGTATGGCTGATTACGTGAACAGAGCCGTTTCAGTTATCCTATGGACGGACCGCAAAGGATCAATGGCTAAATATAGTAGCACCCTTGGGATAAGCTACTTCAGAGTCATCAATATGATCTGAGCTTATTACGCTTCAGAGAAACTATGAAAAGATATGAAGAACGCCTCCAGAATGTTTCCCAGAAACAACGTGTAAGACTGCAAAATAAACAATGAAAGGCATCCCTTAAATATGGTCACAGATTGCATTGGTGAACTCGGTAGTCGATGATGAACCGCCAAGGTCAGCTGTTCGATACTTCCCTTCTGCAATGGTGTTGAGGACGGCATCTTGGATTCGATCAGCTTTGTCATGGAGCTCCAAATGCCGAAGCATCGTGACAGAACTCAAAAGCAATGCAGTTGGATTTGCCAAATTCTGTGCAAGTAACAAGCTTTCAGATACATGAAAAATACTTTACGATAAAGAAATGCAACTAATGATTGGTGCAAGGAACAAACTGTCTGCCTTGCGAGTTTGCAAAATATATATTCAACCTCATCAATTACTTTTATATTGGTTGTGCTTTTGCAAAAATGTGTGAATATGAACTCCCATTTGAATTCGAGTTAATTGGATACAATGAAAATTTTAAAAGAAAAAAGCTCGAGTGAGAACCCAAAGCGGGCCATGGACTTGGATCTACCAAATGAAAAAAATGCTTCTGAGATTCAATCATAAACTACGTTGCCTCGGTTGTATCCCCCCACCCCCGCTAAAGTGGTAAATAAGGGTTGGGGTCACATTTTATTTCTATCTGAATTGACAAAAAAAATAGGAAGGGATGGTTCTTCCATTGCATTGATAGAGGTCTAACTAGGAAAAAAAATTTCTCTATTCCTTTGAGAGGTAGAGAAGGAATCAAAAGATTTATTTAACTGAATGTTAGGTTGAACTACTGCCAAAAAAAAAAAAAAAAAAAATCGTCTAAGCGACTCTATGAAGTGAAATTTTAAGTCACATGTCAAAGAAAATATGTAATTCCCTAAGGACGCTAGGTCAGATCCATCTTGTTCAACATGCTTTCTTGTAATTCTGTTCTTTATCGGAACCTTTGTTCTTTTCATACGTGCCCAATCTGCATTTGTTCTCCATTCTTCCTATGAAGAAGATTTATTCCTGATTCTGATATATAAGGGGCTAAATATCAAGGGTATACGTTGGTATCCAAAATACAACTGCTTTAAAGAGAAAAGAGTTGACCCTTTAACCTGTGTTTTCCATACCTTTTTTCTTTTTCTTTTTTTTTTTTATCAAAACTGACTTGTTTGATAATCCGGTCTTTCTTGTTTCAATTTTTCTAAAAGAAAGGTTTGAGAGATCTTAGCATTTTTTTCCATAAGAGGTTTCCCAGGAACGTTTTTATAAATATATTATAAGTAACATTTTCTTTCGCTACTCATTTTCCTACACACTTCTTTTAATCTCAAGTCTACCCACTATTCCGAATCATCTCTCCCGTCAAATTTGTTTAACCATCATTCACCATTCCCTCTACATGTACATTCAATATTACCGTGTTTGTTTCAAGTATTAATGCCACAGCAGTGTTAGCATCACAAGTTTATTCCTATATTCTGCATACAGAGAGAACTTTCTATGGAAAGAAGACGACTACTGCTCTTTAACTTTCATTTCATTTGCTAGGTTCCCACAATCAATGTCATTTTCTAAAACTAATCTTTTAACTTCTAATTTAAATTTAAATAATAGACTACAATTTTAATACCTTTTACTACTAATAATACTAACTTGAAGATGATTAAATCATTTCTTGTATTTGAAAATGTACAACTTATGATGAACATATCCCACACATCAAATATTGTAGTTTAATATAGCCAATTTTTCATTCATAGAAATGTCATGCAATTTGAACAAATCTATCTCCCCCAAGCATTTAGTTTCGTAAATAATATTATTATGAAATTTTTTTCTCATAACGTCAATAAATTCCATGTCAAAAAGCCCCCCACAATACATAGGTCTCCAAGGTTGACATGTAAACACTTGTCAAGATTATTGACCGATGAGAGGAATTTGAAATAAATTATTAGTGCAAAAACGAAATTGACACCAATAAACCCTATGATGCGGGTTAAAGTACCTAGAGATAGTTTAGGACCAAATCTGAGTTGCTTAGTGAAAACAAAACAGCAAAGCTCGTTAAAGAAATCCAGCTATGAATACAAGTAACATACAAAAACTGGTGACTGGACAAAAGAGATATTTGATCAAAGCCAAAGAAATAAATAAAAATGCAGTAATGCCAGTCATCGATCTTAAAATTTTGAAGACTAACCTTTCCAGCAATATCTGGTGCCGAACCATGCACAGCCTCAGCAAGAGCAATGCCTCCCTCACCAATATTACAGCTGCACAAATGTTTTTTGACATCAGAGATTCTTTAAACTTACCAATAAACATAAAAATAAGGCACAAATACCTTGGCGTTAACCCTAATCCTCCAATCAGCCCAGCACAGAGATCACTAATAATGTCACCATAAAGATTTGGCATAACCAATACATCAAAGAGTGATGGATTCTTCACAAGCTGCACAGAGTTGATACACAATCAAAACCAGTTCCACCTTACTTGCACTTGCACAAAAGTCAAATTTCAATGAAATTCTATTCTACGAAAACTCTTTAAAGATCCCAAATTTCATCATCCAATCAATTTATTATCAAAAATTCGTCCTGAAGAATACACTAGGAGTTCTAGATTGACCCTCCCAGACCTCCACATCACCTCTAAGAACTAATTTCCGTAAGGGTGAATGATTCTTGAAGAGAAGTTAATCCATACCATCATACAGCAATTATCAATGACAACTTCCTCATACTTTATCTCAGGATACTTCTCTGCAACTTCCCGGCAACACTGAAAATGAAGACACAAAGAAAACTTCAGATGGGGACGCCTCGGTGGAAAGTGCATATGAGAAAACAGTTAATAGTTTGAAATGTAGTCCCACCTTAAGGAAAAGACCATCAGTTTTCTGCATTATATTGGCTTTGTGAATTGCAGAGACTCTCTCCCTCCCATGAGCTTTGGCATAGTGAAAAGCATATTCTGCTACCCTTAAACTTGCTTGACGGGTAATGATCTTAAGGCTTTCAACCACACCTCTAACCACCTAGCACGCAAGAAATCCTATACGTAAATCACATTGAGATTGTTTTCCACCCCCTCGATCGAAACAATAGATACTTACTTGATGTTCAAGTCCACTGTACTCCCCTTCTGTGTTCTCACGGATGGTGATCAGATTTACATTATCATAACGTGTTTTATAACCAGGTAGGCTGTAGCAAGGCCTCACATTAGCATATAAATTAAGTTCCTTCCTCAAGGTAAGGTTCAAAGAACGATGGCCTTTTCCAATTGGCGTAGCCATGGGTCCTTTCAAGCCCACACCATTACGTCTCACTGATTCTAAGCTTTCCCACGTGAGGAAACTTTGAGTTCGGGGATCTATTTGGTCGCTGACATAGTGTTCTTCCCATTCGATGGGCACATCAGCAGTTCTGAATACCTGTATAGATGAAAAATGAAATTCATCACAACACCCTAAATATCACTTAGTAAATAAAAAGAAAGTATCTTCCCCTTTAATGCTCCGTAAAATGTTCGACGCAAGGAATTTTCCTCTTAATTCTTTGAAAAATATGACTTGCGATTTCAAGTGTATGTGACACTCACTAAGATTTGATTTAAAAAAAAAAAAAAACAAAAAAAAANAGCAGTACTCTTGAATAACCATCTAATAGTAGAAACAAAAAAAAAACAAAGAAAAAAATATCAACGATAAGAACCAATGAAACAGTTTCTTATAAGAGAAGCACAAAAAAAATACCCCGCAACACCGTACGATTTACCGATAAAACAACAAATTCAGAACAATTTTCTCGAGTCATTGCAAGGGAAATTCACATAAGGTACAAAATACGGGCTAATTATCGTGCTGAAATAGAATTGCGATGATGGAGAGAAAGCAATACCTGTTTGACGGACTCCGCAATTTCGGGACCAATACCATCGCCGGGGAAGAGAGTGGCTCGGATCGGTGAAGCGGCGGAAGAGAAAGGCCTAACGGGGAGGGGAGAGGAAGAGCTAAGGTTAGATGAAAGGGAGAAGATCTGACCCGACTGGTTTCCGAGAGCGCGTCTCAGGAGCTGCAACGCCATGATTGACGAAGGATTGAAGAAAAATCACAGAGAAGATGTCTTACCAAAAGTGTTTTGTTAAACAACAAATAAATTTAGTTTTAAAACAAAAAAGGGCCGCATGAACTCAAAAGCTGAAGATTCTTGGGCTTCTTAGTGGGCTCGTATGATGGGCTCTTGGGCTTCTTAGATACTATAATTTTTACTAAAAATATCATTAAATAGTATTTTTAATTCAAATTTTAGATCGAATTAATAAAAATTTATAATTTATCTAAAAAAAAATACTCTCCAACTCCCAAACATAAGACAATCATATTTTTGAAATTAAAAGAAAAAATTAAAAGCATTTTTTTATTAAATTTTTTAAAAGCATATTAAAGAGTATTTTTATTAATTTAACCTAAATTTTAATTAAAAGGAAAAAAAAGGGTTTATGAATAAAAAGTTGGCCCAACCTTTACAATGTCCTTATTACGTCCTTATTTATTAAATATTTTTTTCTAAAAACGGTATTCCATAGATTATGCTGCTGTTTTTTTTTTTTTTTTTTTTTGTTAAATTATTAATTACTATCCATAATTGGATATTATTTATTTAAGGTAGCTCGGATGATGATTTTGAAATTCAAAATTTTAGTTTTGTGTTAAATGCTTTCCTTAAATAATTTATTATCCAAAAATAAAATAAAAATGTACAAATTTTCCAATATAATTTTTCTATATATCTATAACATAAAATTTCTATTATAATTTTTCTTTAATTAAATAGAGATAGGAAAAAAGGTGTTATTTTCGTATATATCTAATTTCTTTTTATATTATGCAAAAGTATATATGATAAGGAAAGGAACCACTACAAGGGGAGTAAGATTCGGATTACCTTGTTGATCGAATATCTCAAGGCAAGAACATTGTTTGAGATTCGAATCACTCCACAAGCAAGATCGATCATGTCTAGCTTGAATGATTCTTGTTGATCAAATATCTCAAGGCAAGAACACTTCCATGAGATTCGAATCACTCCACAAGCAAGATTGATCATGTCGAGCTTGAATGATTCTACATGCAACCTAAACTACATAGAATTGCAAAGAAACTTAGCCATTGGCTAAAGAAGAGCACAAATGCTTCTTTTTACTATATTTTTCCAAGTCCCTTACACATACAACATACATGGCTTTATATAGCCTCAAAATGAAACTACTAAAGTCATTCCAAGAGTTGTAACATTGATACTTAATGACCATAATTAACCATTATGTAATTGTAACCTATGGTAAATAAAGTCTTAAAATACATAAATGAAATACAATAACTCTAAATTGTAACCCACCCAAAATTTATAACAATCAAACTTCATTCTTCTTCAATGTGGCATGAATTGAAACATCTTTTGATAATTTTGACAACCTTTTCTTCACATCTTCATTGAAGTATATTGTATGATTGATGTCTTTTGGTTCATATCAATATATTAAACATTACCATTGCCCATTTAAGCATGTAGTTTGAAAAGAAAAAAACAGTTTTATGTTGTTAAAATTATTTTAAAAAAAAATAAAGGAGAATTATGATTTGAAATAAATAATTTGAAAACATATGAAGCACATGTTTAGTTTAGTGGGTAGGAAGTACATTTGGGTATAAACATATAAAAATTGAAGTAGAAGTCATCAAATTTGACCTTTGAAAATCACTTTCTCATTCGCCTAACAACCTTCACCATTGTTTGCTTCCACCAACCTTCCTCTCAACGTTGATCCAATATCTATTTAACCCCCACCCTTTCTTCTTCCCTCAACACCTCAAATAACACTCGGATTCCTTCAACTTACAACTATCTTTCATTCTTCTGCTTCTTCTTTCGGATCCCACTTCCTTTCTCTCTTTCTGCATAAATTACAATGGCCCCCATCGAGCCCATCTGCAAGAGCTCCACCAGTGACCCGCTCAACTGGGGTGTGGCGGCTGACTCCCTCAAGGGAAGCCATCTCGACGAGGTGAAGCGCATGGTGGAGGAGTACCGGAGCCCCCTTGTCAAGCTTGGCGGTCAAACCCTCACCATTTCCCAAGTGGCTGCCATTGCTACTAGGGACTCTGATGTAACTGTCGAGCTTGCTGAGTCTTCCAGAGCTGGTGTTAAGGCCAGTAGTGATTGGGTTATGGAGAGTATGAATAAGGGGACTGATAGCTATGGCGTTACTACTGGCTTTGGTGCTACCTCCCACAGAAGAACCAACCAAGGTGGCGCTCTCCAAAAGGAGTTGATTAGGTTTTTGAACGCTGGCATTTTTGGAAGTGGAGCAGAGTCGGATCATACTCTGCCCCATTCCGCTACCAGGGCGGCCATGTTGGTCAGAATCAATACTCTTCTTCAGGGCTACTCGGGTATTAGATTTGAGATTTTGGAAGCCATAACCAAACTCTTGAACCATAATATCACTCCTTGCCTGCCTCTTCGTGGAACCATTACTGCTTCTGGAGACCTTGTTCCTCTTTCTTACATTGCTGGACTGCTCACTGGCCGACCCAACTCGAAAGCGGTTGGTCCAAATGGAGAACGTCTTGATGCCAAGGAGGCTTTCCAACAAGCTGCTATTCCTTCTGGGTTCTTTGAGTTGCAGCCTAAGGAAGGGTTGGCTCTTGTCAACGGCACTGCTGTTGGCTCTGGATTGGCTTCTATTGTTCTGTTTGAGGCTAATATTTTGGCGGTTCTGTCTGAGATTTTGTCTGCAATCTTCGCTGAAGTGATGCAAGGCAAGCCTGAATTCACTGACCATTTGACCCACAAGTTGAAGCATCATCCGGGTCAAATTGAGGCGGCTGCAATTATGGAACACATTTTGGATGGGAGTTCTTACATGAAAACCGCTAAAGAATTACATGAAATCGATCCTCTTCAAAAGCCAAAGCAAGATCGCTATGCACTAAGAACATCTCCTCAATGGCTTGGTCCATTGATCGAAGTTATTCGTTTCTCCACAAAGTCAATTGAGCGAGAGATCAATTCAGTGAACGACAACCCTTTGATTGATGTCTCAAGGAACAAGGCTTTGCATGGAGGCAACTTCCAAGGAACCCCAATCGGAGTATCCATGGACAACACTCGTCTGGCCGTTGCTTCAATCGGAAAGCTCATGTTTGCCCAATTCTCAGAACTTGTGAATGATTTCTACAACAACGGGCTGCCTTCAAATCTCTCTGCAAGCAGAAACCCAAGTTTGGATTATGGATTCAAAGGCGCCGAGATCGCCATGGCTTCCTATTGCTCCGAGCTTCAGTATCTAGCAAACCCCGTAACAAGTCACGTCCAAAGTGCAGAGCAACACAATCAAGATGTCAACTCTCTCGGTTTGATTTCTTCTAGAAAAACCGCTGAGGCAATTGACATTTTAAAACTCATGTGTTCCACGTTTTTGGTTGCTCTATGTCAAGCAATTGACTTGAGACATTTGGAGGAAAACTTGAAGAGCACCGTGAAGAGCACAGTAAGTCAAGTAGCCAAGAAAGTTCTCACCACAGGCACTAACGGCGCACTTCACCCATCAAGGTTTTGCGAGAAAGATTTATTGAAGGTGGTGGACAGAGAATACACCTTCGCCTATGTGGATGATGCATGCAGTGGCACTTACCCATTGATGCAAAAACTGAGACAAGTTCTAGTGGAGCACGCACTCGCAAATGGTGATGGCGAACAGAACACAAACACTTCAATCTTCCAAAAGATTGCTGCTTTTGAAGAGGAATTGAAGGCTGTCTTACCAAAGGAAGTTGAAAATACAAGGTTAGCATATGAGAGCGGAAATGCACAAATTAAGAACCAAATTGAAGAATGCAGATCTTACCCATTATATAGATTTGTGAGGAAAGAATTGGGAACAAATTTGGTAACAGGTGAGAAAGTGATATCTCCCGGAGAAGAATGCGAGAAGGTATTCACGGCTTTGTGTCAAGGAAAGATGATTGATTCTATCTTAGAATGTTTGAAGGAGTGGAATGGGGCGCCAATCCCCATATGTTAGGTTCCTGAGGAAACCTCAGCCTTTCGGTCTTTGTTAAACGGTTTTTATTTCTATTTTAAATACTTTTTTTAATTATTCTCATTTTTGTTTTATGGAAGAAACAAATTAATAACATAATTTCTACAATTTATTTTTAATGTGTTCTATCTCTCTTTTAAGTTTTATTTTGGGTTTATTCATTTGGCTCATTTTTTCATCCTCTTATAAAATATTTTTTGATTTTAATATTACAATATAGTATTCAAAAAAAAAAATCTCTCTTTTATTCCCTGTTTAAATGTGTATTATCTGTTGTGTTTGGAGCTAAATTTATTTTATAATAATGCAAAAAAAATCCCTAACTTTGGTTATTTTTCTATAAGTAAAAAGTAATGAAAATAAAATTTTAAGTTTTAAAATCTTTCAATTTTCTCCCTTTTATTTATTTATCGATATGATATACAAAAGTCAAATATAATAAGATATAGGAAATGGGGTTGTTGGAACCAAAAGAGGGCTTCGATGGTCAACCGTCAACGCTTGCGGGAAAGGAAGGAAGAAATTAGGCGAGGCATGTTTATGTTGACAAGTCAACTTTATTTAAGGAAAAGAATTGACAAAAATAATAAATAATAATAATAATAATAAGGTAGGATGTCATTTCTTACCTATTATTTAAAGAACAAATTAGGGATTTGCGTTTAAAGTTGGGGTTTCATTTTTTTTTTTAACAACAAAATAAATAATTAAAAAACCTATACAGAAAATATATTAAATGTTTGATTTTTTGTGATTTTATTAATACAAAATTAACCATTTATCTCTCTTTTCCCAAATCAGAAAATATTTCATTTGTTTAAAATATGAGTATTTATCATATTTGTACTATTCTCTTTAACAAAAATACTATTTTAATTATAAAATATATAAATTAACGTCATTTCAATAAGAGCTCTATAGGATGAAATATTAATATTAAACTTCAAATATTAAAATCTCATTAGTACATTTAAAATGTAATGTTGTTAATATTAAATTATTAATTACAATATGAAATTGTCATTTTGTATGTA